ATACACTTTAAGCTTTAATATTGGGCTAATATACCAAGGCTTGTAACCAATATCGAACTAATTAGTAAAGGACTTCCTCAGCAAATAGCCAACCTAGGAAGGCAAAGAGAAATGATTATTTTTGAAGACCCCAATTTTTAATCACAACAACAAAATCACAAGGCATGAAAAGAAACTGGAACACAAGGCCCATTAAGGGAAAAAAAAGTAGCAGAAACAATCTCTGAAGAAACATAAACATTAGAATTACTAAACAAAGGCTTTGAAACAACTGTTTTGAATATTCTCAAAGACCTAAAGGAAAGCATGGAAAAAGAAGTAAAAAAATCAGAAAAGCTACATATGAACAAAATAATGTATCAACAAAGAAATTGAAATTATAAGAAGGAACCAAACAAATTATGGGGATGAGAAATATGAAAACTCAATTGAAAAATTCACTAGAGGGTTTCAACAAGAGACTTGAACAGACAGAGGAAATAATCAGCAAACTTGAATACAGGACATTTGAAATTTTAGTCTGAATAGAGCAAAGAAAATAAGTGAAGTGAACAGAGCCCAATGGACATATTGGGTATAATTAGAAGACAAATATATGCTTTATGGAAAGGAAAAAAAAAGTGACAGAGAGACCATCTGAAGAAATAATGGTCCAAAATCCTCCAAGTCTAAGGAAAGAGTTGTTAGAAGTCACAAAGGAAATCGGAAAATAAGATAAATGAAAATAACACAGTCCATCAAAACTTATGAGATACAGTAAAAGCAGTGCTACAAGGGGAATTTATATTTGTCAATGCTTATATTTAAAAAGAAAGAAAATCTTAGGTCAACATCCTAAGTTTATATCTTAGGGAATAAGATTTTGTAAACAAACTATAGCCAAAACACACATAAGGAAGGAAACAACAAACATAAAATATAAAAGAGATGACAAAACAATATAGAAAATCTATGAAGCAAAAAGGTGGATTATTGAAAAGTTCAACAAAATTAGTAAACTTTTAGCTAAACTGCCTAAGAGAAAAAAGAGATGATAAATTATTAAAATCAGAAGGTTGATTCATAATTTTATAGAAAAGAAAATATACTTAAAATATCACTTTGAACAATGTCCCACCAACCAATTAGATAACTTAGATATGGGCAAATTCTTAGAAACATACCATCTATCAAGACTAAATTGCAAAAAAAAAAAAAAATAGAAATTTTGAATAGATCTAAATTAATAAGGAGACTGACTCAGTAATTAAAAACCATGCAAAGAAGAAAAGCCTTGGATCAGATTGTTTCAAAGGTAAAATCTACCAAACATTTAAAGAAAGAACAACAATCTTTCTTGAACTCTTCCAACAAACTGAAGAAGAAAAAACACTTTCTAAGTCTTTCTACTGGGGCCAGCATTACCTTTATATGAAACCCAGATAATGACAATGTTGAAAAGACTAAAGATTTCACACACACACACACACACACACACACACAAAGAAAAAAAAAGAACTGTAAAAAATACTAAACAAATTTGGTAAACTGTATGATACAAAATCAAAACACAAAAAAGTCAGTTGTATTCATATGCAGTAATAATCAATAATCCAAAGAGGAAATTTAAAAAGCAATTCCGTTCACAATAGCATCAAAAGTTAAGATACTTAGGAATGAACTTAACCAAGAGAAAAAAAGACTTGTACACTGGAAACTATAAAACATGATTGAAAAAAATTAAAGAATACACAAATAAGTGGAAAGAAATCTCATTTTCATAGATTTGAAGACAATGATAAAATGTCAATAGTACCCGAAGTGATATAGATTCAATGCAATCTCTATTAAATACCAATGATATTTTTTCAGATATAAAAAAATCCATCCTAAAGTTCATATGAAATCTCAAAAGACCCAAAATAGTCTAAATGAGCTTAGAAAAGATAAAAATGAAGGTTTCACACTTCCTGATTTCAAAACTTACTACAAAACCATGGTGGAATAAGACAGATGGAATAGTATGGAAACTCAAAAATAAACCCTCACATAAATGGTCAAACGATTTTTGACAAAGGGTGTTGAGGCCATGCAATGGGGAAAGAATAGTTTCTTCAACAAATGATGTTGGAATATATGATAAGATTAATATCCAGAATTTATAAAGAACTCCTAAAATTCGATGACAAAAAAAATCCCAAAATCACCTGTTTAAAAAATAGGCAAAGGACTTAAATAGACATTTCTCCAAAGAAGATATCTAAATGGCCAATAAGCACATAAAAGCAAGATGCTCAACATTAATAGTCATCAGGGAAATGCAAATCCAAACCACAGTGAGATACCACTTCATAAATATTAAAATGCCTATCCAACCCCTGGTTAAAAATCAATGTGTGATTTTTCAGGCCTGACCTGACAGGGCTTCTGGGGAGTGAGAGTGGGGAAGCTGTCCTCCCCACAACAGACTTAGGGTAAAATCAGTGCATCACAACCTCTGAAGAGAGTTATAGTCAAGGTGTCAGGCTCTCCTAGCTAGTCATGCCCTTCACATATTTACATTCCTAGCCTTGGTGCCTTGATTACTACGTCTCTTCACCTGAGGTCTTCCTTAGAGGTCCTCTTCAAGCACCTCTGCCAAGACCTCCTTATGGAAGAAGAGGGAGGAAATTCTGAAGTCACTTTTATCTACTCTGACTCAGCACCAGTCCACTCTGAGCACCCTCCCTGACCTACCTGCAACCCCTGAGTCCATAAAACTATTGGGGCCTTTTATTTGGGGCTCTCTCAACACTGAGAAGTAGCCCACATCTGCTCTGATACACCTGATCTTCCACTTGTGAACTGTTCCATGGGGGAACAGAGGAAAGTGGCACTTTTCCTGGTTTTAATGTCTTCTACTACCACAGTAAGTGATTAATCACTTTGTTTTTCTATTTTTGGTTTGTTGTTTTAATGGACTACTGGTTTGTTGTTTTAATGGGCTACTGTGACATGTAACAGTTCAGCCCTCTCTCTCCCTTTCTCTCTCTGTCTCCAAGCTCAGCATAGCTCCTGAGATCTATCAGAAAAAAAGAAAGGAAGGCAGGAAGATAAGTGTTGGCAAGGATATGGAGAAACTGGATTCCTTTTGCATTGTTGGGGGACATGTAAAATGGAACAGGTTCTATGGAAAATGGTACAACAATTCTTAAAATAATTAAACATAGAATTATATGATCCAATTAATTCCACTTCTAGGTATATACCCCAAAGAAGTGAAAGAGGAATTCTCATGTTTATATAATATAGCATCATTATTCACAATAGCCAAAAGGTAGAAACAACTCTGGTGTTCCTCAATGGTTGAATGGATATGCAAATGTGTTGTTATATACATACAATGAATTATTGTTCAACTTTAAAAATGAATAGAAAATTTTGACAGGTTACAACATGAATCAATCTTGAAGACATTATACAAAGTGAAAGAAACCATTAAAAAAAATACTGTATGATTTCTATACTATGAATTTCCCAGAGTAGCTAAATTCACACAGACAAAAAGTAGAATAGTAGTAACAAGGGCGTGAGGGTGAGGGAAATAGATATTACTTAATTGGCACAGAATTAATTTCAGTTTGTGGTGAGAAAAATGTTCTGGAGATAAATAGTGGTGATGGTTGCACAATAATGTGAATATAGTTAATGTCACTGAACTGTACACTTAAAAATAATTACAATGGTAAACTTTATGCCATACATATTTTACTATAATAACAAATAACATATGGCAAAAAGAATACAATACTGAGGGATAAATTTAACCATGTAGATGAAAACCATGTAGATGAAAACCATGTACACTGAAAACAACATAATATTGCTGAAAGAAATTAAACAAAATATAAATAAATGGAAAAGTATCTTGTGTTCATGTGTATTTTACCACAATTAAAAAATACTCAATATAATGAAAGACTTAATACGATTAAACCGATCAGGATACAATAATATATGGTATGGTAAAAAGACAACACCAAAATCTTACTGGCTTAAAAACAGCGGTTTGTTTCTGCCTCATGTTACATCCCCTATATGTCAGCTGTTTTGCTCCACAGGTCTTCACTCAGAGACACAGTCTGACCAAATCTCCACTATCTGGAAGGTTGTTATTTACTTTAACTGACATAGGGAGTTATGAGGGAGAACAAGAAAAACATTTTTAAGACCTCTGCTTGGAAATAATACTCATTACTTCTGCTCACATGTTATTGCCTGCTCAAGGCAACTCTAATGGCCGCACCTATTTTCAAAGGGAAAGGGAAGTCCAACTTTCAATTACACCTTGAAAGGGAGAAGAATTAGAAATACTAGTGAGTAATTATAATGTCTTCGACAAAAATAAAATGAAATTATCCTCGCATTTGCATAGTTACCACATTGTTGTTGTTACTAAGCATTTCACACAAATAATCTCACTTGAACCTAAGAATAACACATTACCTTTGCTGTACACACAAAAACACTGCAACTAATAAAAGTTAAAATGTCTGTTCAAAATTACAATAGGAATGATAATATAAGACCTTGTAAAGAATACTGGCAGGAAACATAGAAGAGATATTAAGAAACCAAGGGGCATGTCGGACGTTTTCACATCATGCCACATACATAGCCATTCATTCATAAAGATGGGCCATATGGTCCAAACCAAGAGAGAATAAAATGGGCTCTTCGTTCCTGGTGGGATGAGGTAGACTGATGCTAGAAGCACAGAAAATGTTCTCAAAGTGCAGTTAGGGAGCAAAGCACATACTCTCTACTAATTATACACTACCTTCTACATGTTAATTTTGAGAAAATGCCACTACTGACTGAAAATTGTACTGAAAAGGCTTACGGAACCAGAAATCCAGTTAAGATATGAAAGTTAAGGCTGCTATACCTCAGGGCAACATCACCAAAATGTTCAAAACATCTATGAGGGAATTAGTACCAGAAATTGGCATTTTTTCTGAAATATTAAAATTTATGGGCAGCGCGCGGCGGCGGTGGTTTGCGTGGCCTGCTGAACGCCCCGCCCAGCCCCTCGCCTCAGCTGCCACCTCGACGCTTCCCCTAGTCTGAGCGGCTGCTTGTCCGCCCGCCGGCCCGGCTCGAGCGAGGCCCGCGGGGAGCGCGGCACAGTCCGTCGGCCCGCGGCGGGGGGCAGCCTCCTGGCATCTTCGTGGCGCCCAAGAACGACCAGGAAGTGGAGTGGCCGGGATGGCGCGTACGCGGCCCCGCGAGTACAACGCGGGAGACCTGGTCTTCGCCAAGATGAAGGGCTACCCGCACTGGCCCGCCCAGATCGATGAACTCCCAGAGGGAGCTGTGAAGCCTCCAGCCATTAAGTACCCTATCTTCTTTTTTGGCACTCACGAAACTGCTTTTCTAGGTCCCAGAAACCTCTGACCTTAAAAGGAATACAAAGACAAGTTTGGAAAATCATACAAAAGGAAGGGATTTAATGAAGGATTGTGGGAAATAGAAAATAACCCAGGAGTAAAGTTTACCAGATACCAGGCAATTCAGCAACAGAGCTCTTCAGAAACCGAAGGAGAAGGCGGAAATACCGCTGATGCAAGCAGTGAGGAAGAAGGAGACAGAGTAGAGGAAGATGGAAGAGGCAAAAGAGTGAAAAAGCAGGCTCAAAGCGGAACAAGTCATACACTTCAAAGAAATCCTCTAAACAGTCCCAGAAATCTCCAGGAGACGAAGATGACAAGGACTGCAAAGAAGAAGAAAATAAAAGCAGCTCTGAGGGTGGAGATGCCGGCAATGACACAAGAAACACAACTTCAGACTTGCAAAAAACCAGTGAAGGGACCTAACTACCATAATGAATGCTGCATACTAAGAAAATCACAAGAAGGTTATACGTTTGGATGTCCAATATTCTCGGATTTGATATGAACCAACACATAGTCCTTGTTGTTATCAAGGCAGTTATGTTCATCATTCTGCCTTTTACTCCATCATCACCAAACACTCAGTTAAATATGAATTAGCATTTTTTTAAAGGCCCACTCAACATAATGCTTAAGGGATTTCTTCTCTGTGACAGAACCCAGGAATCAATTCCTAGATACATAATGTTGGCATATTAAAGGTGAACTTAAAATTGTCCTTCAGTTTTGAGGCCATGTGTAAAGTTGAATCATACTGTAAAATACCTATTCCGTATTAGAAATAACTAGTTGACAACTTAAACTTCTCAAAACTCATGTTGTTACATACACAAACTCAGTTTCCATATGTGAAGTTAAGTGAGTCTTTTGTGTTACTCCAAGATAAAGGGAATGATTTATTTTCTCCCAATGCCAATACAATTTAAGCTAATCACTCAAGCTGGATACTTTACATTTTAAAGCTGGACTCAGCAGTAGCCTATGGGAAGTAAGACAAAGCATTGACTTTTAAATATAGACTTTTAAACGATCTGTTGTTTTCTTTTGGAACTAGAATTAGAATCGTTAATACTCATCCACAAACTATTATTATGTGTAAATTATTGTTGCAATTGTGATCATAGAAAATTTTATTTATTTTTATGCCAACTTATATTGTGAGAACACATTTAGTCAGTCTGGGTTTTATCAACCCTGTTATGTTTGTCCTTGGAACATCTTTCACGTATTCGAGGTTTGTAGTTGAAAAGTTTACTGTAAAAAAAAAAATTAAAAATAATTGTTTTTACAGAATAAATTAATTGGAATGTGAAAAAAAATATGTTATGCTTCAGTGTTTCCCACTCACAATCCTAAAAGTGTTTTTTTTAATTTATTTCCATATGTAATAATCAACATTACATCTATTTGTGTCTATATCAGTTCTGTCTTATTATAAAGTTCCAGCTCTCTTGAAGAAGAAATTCATAGGGCCTGGACTCCATCTTAGGCCTGTTCATGCTGATCATGCTCAGCCACCTCTCCAATGAACTCTGAACTCTGTGTTTGGTGCCTATGGAAACGACAACAGAAGGATAAGACCCCCTCCAGACAGGGGAACCTTGTAGATCATATCCCGGTTACTCATCACCTAAGAGAATACATACACTAATCACCCCTTCCTCCAGACAGGCCATACATTTTTCTATACCTATTGGATTGTAACCTCATGCTTGTTAATTATTGGCTAATTGTTTAACTTTCTGAGCACATGGCACATAAATGATGGGGTTATTGGGATTGTATTTACCCTTCCTTTGTTTATGTAAGTCTCAAGGAATTTGAGGTGGTGGGTTCAGACACATACACATGGGGTATAAAAGATTTTCACAAATGCTGGTCGGGGTACTTGGCTAAGAGGAGACTCTGCTTTGAGCCCGCCAGTGTAATAAACCGCACTCCACTATCTGCATTGTCCTTCTGAGTGAGTTGGTTTCCGGGAATGCATGGCTACAACATTCTAACTGAATGCCATTCCTTAAGATATTCCATAAATGGAAAAATGTCCTATTTATTTTATTTCTAATAAAGGAAAACACATAAAAATTGAATGAAAATCTCATAGAAAAGATTACTGTATAAGAAAATAGTAGTGGGCATATAGTAATAAAGTCATAGATGTTTGTCACTGAGAAAGATATTAACCCACTTAAACACCTCTGTTCTTCTGACAAACTGCTAAGAAAAAAGAAAAAGAAAACAAGAACCCTCCCTCAAATTCCCCTCTATAGGTGGATAAGCAGAAAATCATGTATCTGAGTGACACAGATTCATGCAAGAGCAATACTATAACTTTTCATTTTATGTAACATTTAATTCAAAACTTTTAATATTTCACATTATACTTTATTAAAAATTAAAACATAGCTTCTTTACCAAAGAAATGAATCCTTCTAAATGGATATTTACAAATCAAAGTATTGTAGCTTTAAATTTTGTCATTCTTTGTTTCTTAATATGTGTTTCTATGTTTCTATACCTCCTCCACATTGACAGCAATTTCTAGTTTACATTTGATCCTGTATAAGGTAAATAATTTTTCATGATTAGATATGCAGAGGTATAGTTGGCTCTAAGTAAAACTGTAAGAATTATCTACCTGTCTTTCTATACTTCTCTTCAACAGAGAACTCCCCTCTCATTTGGATCAGAAACATCTCTCCACTCCATTCATTCCTCACACTCATTCATTCCTAGCAAACCAACTCACATACAAATCTTTTTTTTTTTAATTTATTTATTTATTTTTTTTTTAGCAATACTTATTTTTTATTAAGGTATGTGCATTTTTTTCCATTTATTTTTATTAGTTGGAGGCTAATTACTTTACATCATTACAGTAGTTTTTGTTATACATTGAAATGAATTAGCCATGGATTTACATGTATTCCCCATCCCGGTCCCCCCTCCCACCTCCCTCTCCACCCGATCCCTCTGGGTCTTCCCAGTTCCCTGCTGAGGTTTTTTAAGCTTAAGATAAAAACTTTACCTTAAGCACTTGGCTCATTTATTTTTAAAAATTTATTGAGCATTTTTCTTCTAGGCACTGTGCTAACTGTTGTGAGGACAAGTATATTAATCTGATGCTACAACTAAAGTGTGGGCAAGGAACAGAGGGAGAATGAGGTGAAGTTTAATTTCCTCAAGGAATCAAGAAGGTGTTCCCAGAGAAAATGATATTTAATCTGGGTCTTTGATGATTAGTAAGGTTCTCTTGAACCTGGGAAAGCCATCAGGACTTAAAGCATTCTAAAAGTTGCTTTAGACACTCATAGTACAGAAAGTTAAGAATGGAGCCATTTTTAAGTGTGACAGAGAGTAGATGAGGACAGGGGAGGAGTCACAGCATTCCTCAAAGGCTAGCACAATTGTGGCCTTATATTCTATTGGGAGATACTCCTTCGTTAAGTTATTTTAGGACAAATCTTCAGGAAGCCTGCATAACAGTGCATTGTTAAATGGCTTTGCTTCGTATCTCTCAGCTTATTTAAATGGCACAGAGTTAAATGGAAAAAAAATGACACTTTATATAAGTGCTTTAAACTATAAGAAGCTACAACATGATTGTTTTAGTTGACAAAAAGCATCAGATAATCTTCAAGAAAAGTTTGCGTGCATGCGTGCTAAGTAACTTCAGTCATGTCTGGCTCTTTGCAATCCTATGGACTGTAACCTGCCAGGCTCCTCTGTCCATGGGATTCTCCAGGCAAGAATCACTGGACTGAGTTGCCATGCCCTTCTCCAGAGGATCTTCCCAACCTGGGGGTGGAATCTGCATCTTTTACATCTCCTGCCTTGGCAAATGGATTCTTTACTTCTAGCACCACCTGAGAAGTCCTAGAAAAGTTTGAAGATAAGTGAATGGGAGGCAATTCACCTCAGGAGGGGAAAAAAAGATAACCAAACTATGTTATCTATTCTATCATTTAAGGACAAGAAACAGGACTTAGATTGTCATTCACTGTGAATTACTCCAGGAAATAATAAAAACAAAGAACCTTCTTTACTCTCATATCCCTATACTATATAGTGGGGTTCAGCTACATCTAAACTATACTAAATTTGGCAACTTCTATTGGAGAACTAGAAACAGAGAAGAAAAAGATTTAAAGAAGGACATGCCAAGGAATTCAGAGGAGGCAATATTTATGTGTATATGTGTGTGTGTGTGTGCATGCTCAGTCATGTCCCACTCTTGGCGACCCCATGGACTGCAGCCCACCAGGCTCCTCTGTCCATGGAATTTTCTAGGTAAGAATGTTGGAGTGAATTGCCATTTCCTTCTTCAGAGGATCTTCCTGATCCAGGGATCAAACTCATGTCTCCTGAATTGGCAGGCAGATTCTTTACCACTAGTGCCACCTGGGAAGCCCATATGTATATAGAGTCAGACTTTAAAAAAAAAATAACAAGAATAAAATACAATGAAAATATTTTCTTTGACATTTCAAAAAGAAGATGGTGATGACTATGAATGACCTGAGCTACAATTTAGAAAGCATCAAGTATCGATCGGTTATGCAATTTACATAATATTATTTTATTTCAGCTTTACCACATGATGAAGCTATCTTAAGATTTAATTCACAGATGTGAAAAATAGAAATGTTACGTAGTTGACATTCGCAGAAAG